TCATAAAAATATTCTATAGGCTGGGCGTGGTGACTAATGCCTGTAATCCCAGCACTCTGGGAGGCCGAGGTGGGTGGATACCTGAGGTCACGAATTTGAGACCAGCCTGCCCAACATGGCAAAACCTTGTCTCTACTAAAAATACAAAAATTAGCCAGTTGTGCTGGTGCATGCCTGTAATCCCAGTTACTCGGGAGGCTGAGGCAGAAGAATCTCTTAAACCCAGAAGGCAGAGGTTGCAGTGAGCCGACATCATACCATTGCACTCCAGCCTGGGCAACAGAGCCAGACTCCATCTAAAAATATATATATATATATATATATTCTATAAAAGTGGGGGTAACAGTAGTTCTATAAAGGTAATCTTTAAGCTAAGTAAAGTCTTTCTCTGGAAAGTAATTTTTAATTTTTACAGCATTCAGAAGCTGTCAGCTCCTACTCAGGCTACTAGTTCAGCATTTTTTAAGGTGATCATATTTATGAGACTACTCATACCTGTCTCTGAAGTTCTGCCAGGTTGTAAGGTAAGGCCCCCTCAGCCAATGGGGCTATTCTCTCAATATCTGCCAAAGTCAAGCGCCTTCAGGAAAAATATAGGGAAGAATTGTTAGACACTGACAAACTCTTCATGCCAAAATCATCTTTTCTCCAAAAAAAAAAAAAACTCCGAACTATAGTTTAAAATCTTTACTTCCCTATTTACACAAATCACTTTAGTGACCAAAAAACCTTTTAACTCTGTTTTCATCAACAAAAACCAAAAGACTCCAGAGAAATAATGTGGAGTTAACGAATTTAGTAAGACTCCAGTGATAGATATTAAAATCAAATAATTATTGCCAGAAGCAAAATATAGAGGTTGACTGTCCATACCCACTAAATGTGTCCCCTAAGGATATCTATTTAAAGCACAGGTGCAAAGTATCTGGAAAGGATACATATAAATCTGATAAATACTGGTTGCCTCCAAGGAAAGGAACAAGGGTAGGAGGGAGACTTCTTTTTTTTTTTTTTTTTCAACGATATGTTCTTTCCAACCCTTTGAGTTTTGACCCATTTTTAGGCAGGAGAATAGGGTCTGGAGACAGGGAGACTTCACTTCAGCCTCATGGGTCAACTCTTCATTTGCGTAGGATAACTTCAGCCTCTGATTGGTTGCATATAAATCTGATAAATACTGGTTGCCTCCAAGGAAAGGAACAAGGGTAGGAGGGAGACTTCTTTTTTTTTTTTTTTCCCAACGATATGTTCTTTCCAACCCTTTGAGTTTTGACCCATTTTTAGGCAGGAGAATAGGGTCTGGAGACAGGGAGACTTCACTTCAGCCTCATGGGTCAACTCTTCATTTGCGTAGGATAACTTCAGCCTCTGATTGGTTGCAGGCTGAGCCTTCACTTCGGCCTCCAATTGATCACGAGCTGAGCCTTCACTTCAGCCTCCAACTGGTTGTGGGTCAAGTCTTCATTTATATAGGGTGTAACCAATAGGAAACTTCTAACGGGTACTTAAACCCCAGATGATTTGCAACTAGGGCTCTTGAGCTGCTTGCTCAAGCCTGCTCCTGATATGTGGAGTATACTTTTGCTTCAATAAATCTATGCTTTTGTCTTCTATTGCTTTGTGCGTTTTGTCCAATTCTTTGTTCAACATGCCAAGAAACTGGACAACTTATAGTCAAGACCCTCCACTGGTAACATATCTTGGCAAGTCAGCCAGGAGGTAAGCCCAAATTTGGGGATTTATTTCTCTTTGCCTTTTCCCTTTTTCTCTTCGGACACAGGCTGGAGTTATCTCCATGCAGGGCTCCCTCCACTCCACAGAGGGGAACCCCTTCCGCTCTCTTTCCCTTTTCCAACACGGGATTCTTCACAGACAGCATCTAAGCATGAAGGCAACAGCAGGTGTCTGGCCAGGGCCACTCTCCCAGGAGACTGAAAGGTATCCATGTGGAAGCACCTGACCACCACTGCCTGGTTTGGGTGAGGGACCTGAGTCCTTCTCTTTTTTTCAGTCTTTCAGAGGCTGTTTCCTAGTAGATCCTTGGTAATTGAGGGCAACTAGCCAGGGCCACTCTCTGGTGTTACCTGAAGGCCAAGAAGTGAATGGAGATAGCTGCCCTGCCCAGAATGGGTAAGTACTCTTTTCTGTCTTTCTTGGTTACAGTCCCTAATCCCTACGTATGATGAAATTGACAGTGGCAGCTCTTCTAGAACAAATTCACACATGTTTCAGTCAACTTAAGCCCTCTTTCCTTATGCCAAATTCTCCTAAAGAGTTAGCTTGTAATGGCAAAAGATATCTCTTAGGCATTCTGACTTCCCCTTCAACTTGCTGAGGACTTTTGGGGCCCACAATCTTTAGAATACATTCTACATCTTGTTTCTTTTGTCATCACCATATTATTCTTATAGAATGACCTGCCCTTACATGGGGTCCACTGTCATGATGGTGGATTTTTAAACATTCCCTCTCTTGTTGAGGGCCTGAGTGGAAGAGCCAACCCTATTATTTCATTTTTCATGCTCCAAATCTACCTTTCCCCCCGAGACTACCTGTAAAATCCACATGACAAAAGAAATCCATCCAACTTCTAGTTCCTATTATTAAAGTTCATGGCTATCACTCCAGTGGAACAGGAAACAATGGCCTTATCAAATTATAAGGATGCTAGAAGTCAAGGCCTTCATCCAGGGACAAAAGGAAGGCTCACAGTGGGTCATCAGTGGTGGAGAGAACCTTCCCAAAGTGGTACCAGCACCCATCTAAGGTCAGACTAAGATGGGGCCCTAAAGGGGGACACCCCTGAGGACCCCAATCAAGGCCCAGAGATTTTGCAGGGGGATGCCCCGGTAAAATCTGAGTCACCAAATAAGCTAGGTTCTCTTCTTTCTTCCAGACCACTATGGGCAACTCTCCATCCATTCCATCTGATTCCCCACTTGGCTGCATTCTCAACCACTGGGAATTCTCAAATGTCAATTCTCAAATGTCAATTTGACCCTGACAATCTAAGGAGAAAAAACCTGATTTTTTTTTTTTTTTTTACTGTAATACTGTATGGCCCCAAAATTAGCTGGACAGCCGGGAATAATGGGAAGTCTTAATTACAATACCATTCTGCAATTAGACCTATTTTGCAAAAGGCAGTGTAAATGGTCAGAAATCCTACATGTGTAGGACTTTATGGCCCTATGTCAAAACCCAACCATCTGCAAAACTCCCAGAACCTGCCCCCAAAAGGAAGGTTCTAAGGCAGAACTGGATATTGTGGATGACCTCCTTTATGCAAGGGCCACCTGTCTCTTGGGGCAATGGCAACCACCCCCATATAACCCCTTGCCAAGTGTTTCTGAGGCCCAAATCCAAGAGCTAAAGCCAAGGGCCCTGCTAAGTCCCCCTCACATTCAGAGGGGAACACCCTATTCAACTACCTCTATAGCCCTGCTATCCCTTAGGGAAGTAGCAGGAGCCAAGGGGCTGGTCCGAGTGTCGGTCCCCTTCTCCATAAATGACATACAACAATGTAAAGAAAAAGTTAGGAAGCTATTCAGAGAACCCCAGAAAACTTGCAGATAGGTTCCAAGCTTTGACCTTAGCCTTTCATCTCTCATAGAGAGACGTTCAATTCATTCTAGCAACTTGTTGCACCCTCTTGGAAAAGGAATGAATCTTTGAGGTCACTTGCCAAGAAGCAGACAATTTACTTGCCCAAAACCCTCAGGGTTATCGCCCAAACCCAGACACAGTTCCCGCTACTGATCCTAACTGGGACCATAACACCCCCATGGGAATGAACAACTGAGCCAAATTTCTTAAGGCTCTCCTTGGAGGAAAGAAAAAGGGAGTAACTAAGGCAGTAAATTATGATAAAGTAAGGAAGGTTGCACAAGGCAAGGAGGAAAATCTAGCCGTGTTTTATGGCAGGCTGGAGGAAGCCTTTAGAAAATATACCAGTCTGGACCCTTCCTCTCCTGAAGGCAGTGTTGAGCCCTCTTTTGTTCCTAGTATTACTACCTTCAGTGTGAACTCTCTTGTTAGTGATTACTCCATTTAGAAGTTTGTACTTTTGGCCGGGCGCGGTGGCTCACGCCTGTAATCCCAGCACTTTGGGAGGCCGAGGCGGGCGGATCACAAGGTCAGGAGATCGAGACCACGGTGAAATCCCGTCTCTACTAAACACAAAAAATTAGCCGGGCGCGGTGGCGGGCACCTATAGTCCCAGCTACTCAGGAGGCTGAGGCAGGAGAATGGCGTGAACCCAGGAGGCGGAGCTTGCAGTGAGCCGAGATCGCGCCACTGCACTCCAGCCTGGGGCACAGAGCGAGACTCCGTCTCAAAAAAAAAAAAAAGAAGTTTGTACTTTTTACTGACTACTTTATAGAAACAAATAATCTATATTGCATCATTTTCAAGCCCACAGAAATGTATAAGCCCTATAATCTTGACAGTTTTCAATTATGTTTAATGTTACAAGCATGTAAAACACAGGTGATATATGTAAGAATATATATAAATACCACTAGATAGCTTATTTTGAAGAGATATTCTCTAAATTTTTTTAACAGTAGATTGGCTGCAGTTTCTTAGGTGTGTTTCTTAATATACTCTCTCAATGTTTTAAAGCATATGGAAATTTGAATACTGTTTAACCTCATGTATTCCTTTGTTTACAGGTTGGTTGACTGATTGATTGATTTATCTTGAGATGGAGTCTCACACTGTTGCTCAGGTTGGAGTGCAATGGCGCAATCTCAGCTCACTGCAACCTCCACCTCCCAGGTTCAAGTGATTCTCCTGCCTCAGCCTCCAGAGTAACTGGGATTACATGCGCACACCACACCAGGCTAATTTTTTGTATTTTCAGTAGAGACGGGGTTTCACTATGTTGGCCACACCGGTCTCGAACTCCTGACCTTGTGATCCGCCCACCTTGGCCTCCTAAAGTGCTGGGATTACAGGTGTGAGCGGCCACATCTGGCCAGGTTAATGTTTCTGAGGATTAAAGACATCATGGCTCCCTTTAAGATTCAGTAATATTGATACGTTCGTCAGCTTGCTCCTTTCTGCCCGTGGACGCTGCCGAAGAAGCATCGTTAAAGTCTCTTTTGTCCCTGCTGTCATGTCTAAGTCAGAGTCTCCTAAAGAGCCCGAACAGCTGAGGAAGCTCTTCATTGGAGGGTTGAGCTTTGAAACAACCGATGAGAGCCTGAGGAGCCATTTTGAGAATGGGGAACGCTCACGGACTGTGTGGTAATGAGAGATCCAAACACCAAGCGTTCCAGGGGCTTTGGGTTTGTCACATATGCCACTGTGGAGGAGGTAGATGCAGCCACGAATGCAAGACCACATAAGGTGGATGGAGGAGTTTTGGAACCAAAGAGAGTTGTCTCAAGAGAAGATTCTCAAAGACCAGGTGCCCACTTAACTGAAAAAGATATTTGTTGGTGGCATTAAAGAAGACACTGAAGAACATCATCTAAGTTATTTTGAACAGTATGGGAAAATTGAAGTGATTGAAATCATGACTGACTGAGGCAGTAGCAAGAAAAGGGGCTTTGCCTTTGTAACTTTTGACGACCATGACTCCGTGGATAAGACTGTCATTCAGAAATACCATACTGTGAATGGCCACAACTGTGAAGTTAGGAAAGCCCTGTCAAAGCAAGAGATGGCTAGTGCTTCATCCAGCCAAAGAGGTCGAAGTGGTTCTGGAAACTTTGGTGGTGGTCATGGAGGTGGTTTCAGTGGGTATAACTTCAGTCGTGCAGGAAACTTCAGTGGTCGTGGTGGCTTTGGTGGCAGCCGTGGTGGTGGATATGGTGGCAGTGGGGATGACTATAGTGGATTTGGTAATGATGGAAGCAATTTTGGAGGTGGTGGAAGCTAAAATGATTTTGGCAATTACGACAATCAGTCTTCAAATTTTGGACCTATGAAGGAAGGAAAGTTTGGAGGCAGAAGCTCTGGCCCTATGGCAGTGGAGGCCAATACTTTGCAAAACCACGAAACCAAGGTGGCTACGGCAGTTCCAGCAGCAGCAGTAGCTATGGCAGTGGCAGAAGATTTTAATTAGGAAACAAAGCTTAGCAGGAGAGGAGAGCCAGCGAAGTGACAGGGAAGCTACAGGTTACAACAGATTTGTGAACTCAGCCAAGCACAGTGGTGGCAGGGCCTAGCTGCTACAAAGAAGACATGTTTTAGACAAATACTCATGTGTATGGGCAAAAAACTTGACGACTGTATTTGTGACTAATTGTATAACAGGTTATTTTAGTTTCTGTTCTGTGGAAAGTGTAAAGCATTCCAACAAAGGGTTTTAATGTAGATTTATTTTTTTTTTGCACCCATGCTGTTGATTGCTAAATGCAATAGTCTGATCGTGATGCTGAATAAATGTCTTTTTTTTAATGTGCTGTGTAAAGTTAGTCTACTCTGAAGCCATCTTGGTAAATTTCCCCAACAGTGTTAAGTTAGAATTCCTTCAGGGTGATGCCAGGTTCTATTTGGAATTTATATACAACCTGCTTGGGTGGAGAAACCATTGTCTTCGGAAACCTTGGTGTAATTGAACTGATAGTTATCACCATCAAAAGGGATTACCCAAGCAAAATCATGGAATTATTGGTTATAAAAGTGATTGTTGGCACATCCTATGCAATATATCTAAATTGAATAATGGTACCAGATAAAATTATAGATGGGAATGAAGCTTGTGTATCATCCATTATCATGTGTAATCAATAAACAATTCTCTTGAATGAAAAAAAAATTCAGTAATATTAATAAAATTTGAGATATATAGGATTAGAATCCAACACATTGAGAGGAAAATTGTTAAATTATATAGCTGTAGAGCAGGAAATGAAACCCAGGTTATAAGCTCTGAGGGGGCAGGAAAACTGTTGGTGAAGTACACCATGAGCTACCATACAAGTGTATCAGTGACTGAGCAGTAAGCTGCGGAGCCTAGCTCTATGTGAATGTGAATTTTTAAACTGCACTGTGCCTCAGTTTATCCATCTTTACAATGAAGTTTTGCTTCTCAGTTGACTGGACTATTTCCCCAGTCTATCTTCTTGCCACTCTTGATGCCCATAAAAGGACCTAAGGTAATTTCTGACAGCCTGGGACTCCTTGGGAAAAACAGAAGGTGCCACAGATCTCATTTTAGGAGAAACCCCTGTTTTCCTCATGGAATCCCAAGAAATGTAGGCAGACAGGTCCCTCTCAAAATCTAAGGCTCTGCTCAGTTTTTCATCACATTACCTGACCTTTTTGACTTTTGGGGGCTTCAGAAATTAGTAGGAAAGAGAGATATAAAGAAAGTTATAGCTATGAAGATGTATTTATGGTAAGGAAGGTTATGAAGAAAAGAAATTTTATATGAGAAAGAATCTTGTATGGCAAATTCTTGTCCTAAAGTAGAATGCCTAATTATTTAGGAAAGAGGGAAAGACAGGACAAGTCAGAAAGTCTAAGTATGTCATAGACGGTCTGTGGAAGTTGTGATAGGATTCATATAGTGGGAAAGAGGCTGGGCCCAGTAGCTCACACCTGTAATCACAGCACTTTGGGAGGCCAAGGTGGGCAGATCATCTGAGGTCAAAAGTTTGAGACCACCCTGGCCAACGTGGTGAAACCCCGTCTCTACTAAAAATACAAAAATTAGGCAGGCATAGTGGTACACACCTGTAGTCCCAGCTACTTGGGAGGCTGAGGCACAAGAATCGCTTGAACCTGGGAGGCAGAGGTTGCAGTGGGCTGAGATCGTGCCACTGTACTCTAGCCTGGGCGACAGAGCAAGACTCTGTCTTTAAAAAAAAAAAAAAAAAAAAAAAAAGAAAAAAAACTAAAGGGAAAGAAAAACTTACAACAGCTAGATCTTCTCCTGTGTGTGTGATGTTCATATAAAGGAGCTCTAATTGGTTTCAAATCTACACCCTAGAGATTAACCCTTCACATGATCATGTAAGCTATGCAGTTACCCAGACTGCATCATTTGGTAAACCTGTATGGTTTCACAGAAACCATTCCTAGTTCAGGGCACTTTAAAGGATACACAGTCTAAATACTGCCAAGATAGGCCCAGTAGCTGTGTTCACACTTTCCCTTGGGAAAAACTATACTAATCCTGAGACATCTAGTTGTCTTTTCATTCCCCAGTACAAAAATACCTCTAAGTCATTGCTGGTGGACACTAAGTGTAACTACCTCCACTGGAAAATTTCTGCTGGGGCAACTCAGGATACTTCCCAAGGTCCTTTCCAGCCTTTAACCGGGGCCACTTTAGCAGGGACCTTAATCACTTGAGAAAGTGAAAACAACAAGCTAACCCATATGTTCACCATAGACAACAATTTTTGTCTCAAAAACAAAGATCCTTTTTCCTGTGTGGAACTAGTTGTACTTATGTTTATCAGCCAACTGGACTGGAACCTGTACCCTTGTATATTTACCCCCTCAAAATCAACATAGCTCCCAATAACCAGTCTCTCATTGTACCTTTAACTGCAACTGCCAAGCACAAATGAGCCATCCAATTCATACCCCTTTTGGTAGGGCTAGGAATAACTGCAGGAATAGCAATGGGAGTTAGCGGGTTTCCAACTTCCCTATCCTATTACCAATGCTCATCCAAGGATCTTTCAGACACCTTGGAAGACATTGCCCAAAGTATCGTCACCTTACAAAATCAAATAGATTCCTTGGCAGCAGTCACTTTACAAAATAGAAGGGGACTGGATCTCCAACTGCTCAAAAAGGTGGCTTATGTCTTTTCCTACAAGAATGTTGTTTTTATATCAACCAATCAGGATTAATTAGGGATGCCACTCGAAAATTAGCTGACAGGACTTCTAAAATATAACAACAGCTGTCCACATCATAGGGCTCCTGGTCAAGGGCACTAAGCTGGGCTTCATGGCTCCTTCCCTTAGCCAGCCCATTGTTAATAATTATACTTGCATTGACTTTTTGGACCATGTTTGTTAAATCTTTTTACCAGATTATTTCTTCTCACCTAGAGATGATTAAGCTTCAAATGATCATGCAGCAGGGCTTCCAGCCAGTTCCAGATGATGACGCCCACCCCGGCCATCAAGAAGTAACCCTATCTCCACTAGACAGAGCAGTGCTAGAGTTCCATGGTCCCCAATAGGTAGGAACTGTGCCCCAATCAGCATGAAGTAGTTACAGAAGAAAGACAATTGGTCCTTCTGCCTCCCATAAAGATTTATGAGGATCACGTCTCTCAGGGGGAGATGAGGCAGAAGAACAGTTTATTTGAATAGTTTAGGATATAAATTCCAAGAAAAAAAGACAAGCAGATACAACAGAGGAGAAGAAAGAAACACAGGAAGGGTCTGGACACAAGGAGCCTTCACTTCAGTCAGACAAGCCAAGCCTCTATTTGTATAGGTTGTAACTTCACTTCAGCCTCTGATTGGTTGCAGGCTGAGACTTCAGTTCAGCCTCCAATTGGTCATGGGCCAAGTCTTCATTTCCATACGTAACTTTACTTCAGCCTCTGATTGGTCACGGGCCAAGTCTTCATTTACATAGGGTGTAACCAACAGGAAACCTCTAAAGGGTACTTAAACCCCAGAAGATTTGCAACCAGGGCTCTTGAGCTGCTTGCTCCAGCTCACTCCCACTCTGTGGAGTGTACTTTCATTTCAATAAATCTATGCTTTTGTCTTCTGTTGTTTTGTGGGTTTTGTCCATTTCCTTGTTCAACATGCCAAGAACATGAACAACTCATAGTCAAGACTCCCTACTGGTAACAATGTGAATGCACTACTGTTTCCCAAAACCTTAAATTCCATGAACTAGCTATAAGGTCACTTTACATCCAGTTTTGAGAACTACTTTTTGAAATGTGTCATCATGAAGGAAGATCAAAACCTTTGTTTAAAAATACGAATTACAGGCTGGGCGTAGTGGCTCACGCCTGTAATCCCAACACTTTGGGAGACTGAGGCGGGTAGATCATCTGAGGTCAGGAGTTTGAGACCAGCCTGGCCAACATTGTGAAACCCACTCTCTACTAAAAATACAAAAGTTAGCTGGGTGTGGTAGTGGGTGCCTGTAATCCCAGCTACTCAGGAGGCTGAGGCAGAAGAATTGCTTGAACCCAGAAGGCGGAGGTTGCAGTGAGCTGAGACTATGCCATTGCACTCCAGCCTGGCAAACAAGGAGTGAAACTCCATCTCAAAAAAAAAAAAAAATATATATATATATCATATATATAATACTAAAACAGAATAATGAGATGCTGGCCTGGTATGTACATCGTCAAATCCCCAAAGACTGGCTGAATACTTAGTATGCATCTCCAGTCCCAAAATCATTAAGAAAGCTGAAACAACAAATCACCTATGAATGACCCAGCTCTATTAGCTACTCAGTTGTAAGTTAACGCTCATTTTTTAGATATTATCATACTGAAAGAACTACTAGAGGTGACTTTTAAAAATCGTGTCTCTTAATAGACTGTAAGTTGCTGGCTGGGCTCAGTGGCTCACGCCTATAATCCCAGCAGTTTGTTTGGGAGGCCAAGGAGGCGGGATCATGAGGTCAGGAGTTCAAAACCAGCCTGGCCAGGATGGTAAAACCCTATCTCTACTAAAAATACAAACATTAGCTGGGCATGGTGGCACACGCCTGTAGTTCCAGCTACTCGGGAGGCTGAGGCAGGAGAATAGCTTGATTCCGGGAGGCAGAGGTTGTGGTGAGCCAAGATCACACCACTGCACTCCGGCCTCGGCAACAGAGCGAGACTCCGTCTCAAAAACAAAACAAAACAAAAACAGCCATAAGTCCCATTTCCCACAGATCCTTCTGGATGCCCATAGACAAGGGTTTTTCTTTTGGATTTGCGTGTGCTTTGTTCTTTTATGTTTATAAAGTAAAGGCATAAAACATCTGAGCTTGTCTATGATGGTAACTCTGATGACAATGTCACAGGCATCAAGAAAACGATACTCTCGGCCAGGCGCAGTGGCTCATGCCTGTAATCTCAGCACTCTGGGAGGCTGAGGTGGGAGAATCAGGAGGTCGGGAGTTCGAGACCAGCCTGACCAACATGGTGAAACGCTATCTCTACTAAAAATACAATAATTAGCTGGGTGTGGTGGCATGCACCTGTAATCCCAGCTACCCAGGAGGCTGAGGCAGGAGAATCGCTTGAACCCAGGAAGCAGAGGCTGCAGTGAGCCGAGATTGTGCCACTGCACTTCAGCCTGGGTGACAGAGAGAGACTCCATCTCAAAAAAAAAAAAAGAGAAAAAAAGAAAGAAAATGATACTCTCTGATGCAAAATGGCACATACTGTTTACTGAAGGATCATTTACGGTGAACCAAAAAGATTACAAGATTCTTCCATGTATCTTAGTCTATTTTATAAAGTT